AAGGCCTTTGGTGAGTCTGGTGACAAATTGCTCACACAGACGATCAGTGTTTGCTTTTTAAGTTAGGTGAACGTATCATTGCTGCACATGGGAAAATCCTCTTCAGAAAAGTTAAATTTCTGTAATTCAGAAATGTCTGGGCTGGCTTCCCATTTGCCTTCATGAAGAACTAACTCACCTTTATGCTGAATCCGGTAACTGAAAATCTGTCCAAAGGCATTTTGTGATTCATGTGCTGCTGACAGCTGAGAATTGGAATGGAAGCTATATTTGGCGTCAGCTCTTCTGCTACTGTCTGTTCTGTTGCTATTAACAATTTGTTTGTATACATATGGTACAGTCCTAGATAAGTGTATGTGCATATTCACATTACACGTGAATTAGATTAAAAAGCACGTATACAAAGTTTGTTTGAGCAAAAGACTTTTGGTAGTAGCAACAGCTCCAGTATGTGTGTTTATTTGAAGAAAATTACGTCAAAACCAAAAGAGCTATAAGCAGTTGTTGGCTGATCTCCCTGTATGACTCCTTGTACTCTTTCAACTTGTGGTTATTCGTTCTTTTTGTGAGCATTGTTTTTTGTTTTTTGCATAGGCTAGAATGTTTTGGAAAAAGACCTGCAAGCACAGTTTGTAACCATTTTTCATGGCTTCCCATTGGGGTTTAGATCAGACACATCTAAATCCTGCTCTATGGTTATGTGCTCCACGTTGTCATGATGGTCATCTTCCAGATCTGTGATTCTGGAATGGAACTGACGCACACTGGTTTTCTTTGCTGAAACTGCACTGGGTTTGCAACTGTTACAAATGAGTTTTGTCATGCATCATGTTTATGGTCATGAGGGAAGGGGAGGAGAAGCTACAGATGGAGATGACTCTGTGGGGCTTGCACTGTATCTGTTGTGCATTCATATACAACGTCATTTCCTGTCACTATGAAACACGTTTACTGGTAATGTTCACATGCATCCCCTTCGGATTGTGGCATTTTCTGTCTTGGGTTAAATGTGTGTTAATCCTGTGGGTGTTGCCATTCCTTCTACTTGCAGCTTCTCGACGTCATTCCAGGTCCACTAGTGCTCTCTCCACTGCTGATTCTGTTGGGCAGTCAGGTGAACAAGCGCTAACTGCATGAATCTGCTTCTTATATGTAGTCTTGTTTTACACCATTTTAACATTTGCTGTCACGTGCATCAGCCAGCACTTGGCATGTGCTTCTCACCGCTGCGAGGCTTTTTGTTCTGTTTTGTTCAACATGGCTTTTTCTTTTTGAAAATTTCATTTATTGAATGTTTTTATTTTATGTACTTCAGGAACGTTGTGAGCAGTGTTTGAACAAAGGGTGATCCAGGGCTTTCTCAGTTCTCTTGTAAATTGGATCAGTTGGATCAGCTAGATCCTGAACAATGCAGAGTCCTTGCAATTCATGCCTGTTTCCTCTTCAGCACTGTAGCAGTTTCCAGTGTTTAGGACAGGATCCCAGTGGGTCTCATTCCATTTATTACTAAGTTTTTCAGACTCCTGTCTGTTAATGAAAGTGCGCTTTGGGATCCTGTCTGATATTCACAAAAGCAGCAAGAATTAAGCATCTGATGAGTTTTCAGAATGAACATTGGAGCATAACACGTGCTAATTCATCCTTCATATTCTACTGAAGACCTTATGCAAAGCACGTGGAAGTTGTTGGAAAAATAATTCCTTTAATTTCAGTGGGTTTTGCATAGTAGAAAATAGTGAGGAAAACCTTCAGATTCCAGTTGCCTTCTCCTCTCCTATGCTGGATTTGCAGTTGTGGAATTCCTGCAACTCCCTTTGAGAACAGGATATTTCACTAGGAGTCTTAAGCAAAAACGAATGAGTGCTGCTAGTGTTAGGTCAGCAGAAACTCAAATGTGGGTACGAAGATGATGTAGAAGATGAATTAGAGCTTCAGTGTTTGATTGGAGGCTAAAACTGCATAAGGAATTAGTGACACTAAAGGTTAGTTAACGAAGTTTCTTCAGATAGGCAGTGAAAAATGTTCTGTTCCTCTTAAGTGCAGTTAAATTGCTGTCACTTAAATTAAACTCAAAACGTTTCCCCTACCGAGCTACTGCAGAAATGATGCAAGCAGGTTTGATTCTGGCATGTTTCAAAGCAGCAGTTTGAATTCGTATTGAAAAAAATTGTCAAGAACAAAAAGGGCCCTCAAATCTAATTGAGATCTAAGCTTAAGCTTTTTTCCTTCAACTTTGCGTGATAGTCAATTCATGCTTTGCTCCAGTGGCTTGGTACAAAGCATAATGAGACTATATGTGCTTATCTTGATTCTAAAGAAAGCCAAAGAAGTAGCAAAATCAAGGAATTTTTCACCAAGCAACAACTGTAATTAAAATAGCCAGAAGGAAAAGTGAGTTTGACCAGAGAGAGCACCTACTGTTCAGCTTATTTATTGACAGTAACATTGAGCTTGTCTCTAAGGGTTATTCTTGGAGCCAAATACATTCCCAGTCCTATGGCAGAGAGATGCCGAGCTTCCTTCTAAGATCAAACGTGTGCATTGAGGTGTGGCAGCAGTGTGGGAAAAGCCCACCTTGATGTGGATGTTATGGGTTTAATAGTGACTGCAAGAAGCGTTTTAAAGATTTCCTGACAGCTGTTGGGGATGGAGTAAAAGACAGCATGCCACCTTGTGCTTACTCAATTTGATTAAAAAGCCCTGTTTTGTTTTGTTGTTTTTCCTTTTTATGCTGGGTATTTAAACTGACCTACAGTTGAATTACTTTGTCATTTTGTTCTTCATTTTTTTTTTTAAATAAAAACAAAGCTATCTTCCCTTTTCTAATGTAATACTAAATTAACATGAAAACGTGTAACAGTGATATTATATGATATTGTGCCATTTGAAAGCTATAAAGCCAAATTCTGATCTCAGTAAGACTTGAATAACATTGTCAAATTAGTAGATTGAAATGCAGCTGAGTCCAGAACTTGTCTCAACATTTACAGCCCTTGTGTTGTACCAGGTCTCATTTCCACTTAGAAAAATATTCATCTTTTGTACATCTTCTAGTATGTATCTCTGTAACAGTGACTTCAAATTCAGTCTGACTCAATGGTTTATCATCTTCTGTGCTTCCACTAAGAGTAAACAGATCTTTCCATTTTAGGGATCAAGTGTGGTTTCAGCTACATGTTTGAAATGATTCTTCAACCCGAGTGCATTAAAAAAGGGGATAGTAATAACTCATACAACTTTTATTTCTTTGTGAAATATCATTTGATTACTTTTTGGCAGTAGTTCTAAGATGTTTGTTTTTGTTTTTTTCCTCTTGTAATGTGTTTTGTAGAAATTGTGCTTTTGTTGTAAATCAGAAATGTCTCGTCTGGTTGCATAACTGAGAAAGAGCAAGTTGTGGTAACACTTCTGAAATAAATGCTAATCTTCATCTTTTTTTCTCAAAAATATTTTAGGTTTTAAAAAGTTGTCTTTATTCTCCTCTCTGTATCTTAATCCTTGCTCTGAAGTGCTCAGGTAAAGCTTTAAAATTAGGATGACAGACGGGCAGGCTTCAGACCCTGATTTCAGTTACGCAGGGCAGTGTGAGCAAATTCCCTAAAAGAGATTTCAGTGCAATAGGCTTCTAAAGAGAAAAGCAACAAAACTTTGTGATAAGCAGAGTTTTTAAAAATAAATAAATACAGTAAAGCAGAGTTTTTAAAAATAAATAAATACAGTAAACTGCTAAATGTAACGTTCAATTTGTGCAAATCCATGACGGAAACACATATTTCAATAATCAGTCTTTTTCCTTCATTAAATTAAATATAGATGAACTGCTGAAAGATATGGATCAGCTGATGATCTGTTTGTGCAGCTTCATTTGTGCACCTCTGAAATGCTGGTAGAGCTCTTATTGGCACATGTGGTGTAAGATATGTCCCAGAGGGATCTTTCCCAGCCATTCTGGAGCAAAGACAGCCCCAGGTGGAAACAAAAACTTGAAATGTTGAAACCAGGCTCTTTCTGGTTATTGACTGGAGCCAGGATTGCAGAAATAGATCTCTGATCTGGAGGGGCTGCGCTGCTGGAGCCTGGCCTGTGGCTCCGGTTGCTGATTCTGCTGTATCACTGCTAGTGATAGCTTTCCAAATATGACTTTTGCTCAGAGAAATTCGTTCTGCAATGTTTTTATCAGACTCTGGGCAAATGATGAAGTAAGCTAGTGATTATTGTGGATGTAAGTGGCATTTGGGACTTAATCCTGTTATTTTGGATGTGTTGAGAGCTTTGCCATCAAGTCATAGGGAGACATGATATTGTATGATCCCACCCCCAAGAAAGATTTGTTTTATCATAAAACTTTTGAATTTCATTTCAGTTCAGTGTACTTTTAAGCTGCTTCTCAAGAGCAACAATAAAACAGAGCTGGAGTAACTTCACAAACAAGTAATAAACCTTATTTTTGTTCTTTGAGGCGTAGGGAGATGTTCTGGTTAATCAAGCCTTGCAACATAAGAGAGCTAATGTACTGCTGCTGATGATCTCACGTACTTGCCTGAGAACAAGCTTACAAGATGAGTGCTCTGCTATTAACATGCAACTCTGACACTGGGCACAGCTCTGTTTCTCAGAAGTTAATGAGAAATCTTCAGTTGAATCCTGAGAGAGCCAGACTGGGACCTGCATGTCTGCCTCTGACATTAAAATAAAACCCCAAATAATTTCTATTAAAAATAAACACAAATTAGATACCCTTCTTCCCATCTTAAAACCAAAACCCAGCAAAAACAAAAAAGACATGCCCCGAGGATCTGAAATCGTCTTGGGGACCCGACAAACAATAGTTTATTTCTTAATGTCATGACAAACTCTTGTAGAGTTGTGGATGAAAGAGTCTTTGAAAAAGCACTGAGAGTTCCCAGATCCTTTGGGGAGGACTGTTCAGACACCTGATTAGGATTCCAAGTGAATGTGAATTTACTTAACAATCCCTTTCAATGTTGTCTTTTGTGCAGACCGGTTTGGACTCGGACAGTCAGGCAGGATGCCTGCTTCTGTGAATGCCATGCGAGTCCTAAGCACAAGCACAGACCTGGAGGCCGCTGTGGCTGATGCACTGGTAAGGGGAAAAATACAAAATGCTTCCGACACCGGAAAGTGGCTTAAAGTTACCTGTACGTACGTTCTCCTCTTTCTAAGTAGCTTTGTTCTGATTGTGCTGAGTGTCTGATGCTGTAGAGTTGGTTACCTTGTGTTGTGCTGTGCATGAGTATACGAGCAGCAACGTTTTTTCCTCATTCCATGTTAGTTCTCCACAGTTAGACTAATGAGGCTCGATACTGGAGCCGCAGGAGAAGCTGAATGAGCTGATTGTCTTCTGATTTGCTGTCGGAAGCTGTTTGCTGCACTGTATGGGTGCTCACCACCTGTGGTGTGAGGGAATTCCATTGAGTCCATTAACTGTCTGAGAAAGATGGGATTCCATTTGTCTGGGAAAGAACTGAGAACTCTGTCATGTCCTGCTCTGTTGTTTACACCTAGCTAGGTATTTGGATCAGCTCTAAGCTTGGCTTTTCTGTAATTGATATCATTTCATGCAGTTAAACTGAAGTGTTTGTATAACATACGGCCATTATTTTCTAAATATTAAGTGCATTTCTGAGTAAATTTGTCATTATTAAAAATGTATTGTCCTATATAATGTTACAGCAATATAAAATCTCTTGGGTAGAATACAGAAGATGTTTTTTGCTCTTCAGAAGCTGAGTGCTGTCATAAACTTTTGGATTTACTTTGGGGCTTCAGGAGACAGTGGGTGTTTAAGAGGCAGGAACATTTACACTGAAGTATTATTTGGGTGAACCTTAGGTCTTCCTCACCTCTAGACATAAGCTGAGATGAGGATTTCCTGATATATCTGAAGCAGATATCTGTTTGTTTGTCTTGGAGAACAAATAATGTCCCCGGAGTTTGTGAAAGGTTTGGGTTTTTTTTTCCATTTTTCCTAGTTTACTTTCTCTAATATTGGCTAACATCATTCTTCTTTTTGCAATCATCATGTAGCTTACCTCACCTCCATTTCTAGAGTATTATTAGAGTACTCCTAGAAAAATGGTTTTTGTTGTTGTTTTTTTTTTTTAATAAATAATTTCTTTTGAATCATACTGAGTTAGGACAGTATATAATGGCGCTGTTGTATTTAGTGGGCATTTTCATTACTAAATTCAGCAGATCATGAGGCAGTTTTTGCTCCCGGCTCCTCAAATTTGCCACCATAGTAGTTCACAGCATAGTTATAGGTGATAGTTTGCCTTTGTAAATGAATCATGCTGTATCCCTGAATGTGAGCAGTGAACACTTGGTTACTTGACGGAGGTGGAGAGGGTAGCAGTGGTGTTCCAGTTCACTGTTGATCAGTTAAGATTTCTTGGTGTGACTTCAGCTTGGACTTCTAAGTTCACTTCTAAGTATTTCACTGTTTTAAACTAAGTAACTTTATGCTGGAATATTAAAATCTTATTTAAAGAGTTAAGCATTTAAAAGGGAAGTCTGTGAGTCTAGGTGGAAAGCATTTTAGCTACCTTGATACGTGTAAGATGATCAATCTGAATTCGTATGACTTTAATGGATGTCATGTGATCTTGTTGTCCCTTCTTTCTCACCTCCTCTGTTCTTTTTTTTTTTTTTTTTTTTTTTTTAGTTGCTTCCTCTTGACAAGCAATTTACAAACTCTGTTTGGGCTCATTTTGAAAGATTAGTGTGATGCCAGCTTTTACACAGCAACCTTGTTCTCAAACAAGTGTTCTTTTTCCTGTAGTAAGAATTTAAAAAAAAAAAAAAAAAAAAAAAGCTGCTATAGAGATGTCTTTAGCCAAGTTTAAACAAAACTCAGTGGGTCATTCTGTAACCTTTGCTCCATGCATATAATTCTCATTGGATCCACTGCTTCTGTCTGAGAGCTGAACTTGGCCTAAGAACACAGTCTATACTTTGAATCAGTGCTTGGATCTGTCAGGAAAGCTCAAAGGGTGATGGAATCTTTGGTGTGAAGGCCTTGAAGTCGTGGGCGCCAGCTTGTCTTTTAAAGAAGTTAAGCTTCAAAAAAAAAAAAAAAAAGAATCAACTACGTGTTGAAAGAAAACCTGGTTAAGTGAAGTTGGATTAAATGTGTTGTACTGTAGATAGTGGTTTCCTGACATCAGAATCTCTTTAAGACTTGAGAAATCAAAAGCTACTGAGAATGTGCGGAGAAAAATCACTACCCAAAACTGGTATCTTCCAGAAACAGCATTTCTGAGATGCAGGCAGAGGCGCTGCATTCGTAGATGTCATCAAAAGCAAAACAGGTGATTTCGCTTCCAAGGTCTGTAATAGAAAGTGCAAGATATACAAGTTCAGCTGATAGGAAATAAAGCCAGGTATTATTATACCCACTTTTGCTTTGCATAAACTGTTGTGTTTTTTTAATTTGCTAAGATGCATTTGCTATACATTTGTGTTGCAAAAACAAAAACCCCACATAAGCTTCTGACATAATTCTCTATGCTTTTTCCCACCCTTCAATATTTTCCTGCCTCTACAGCTGTTAGGAGACTCCAGGAGCAAGGTACTAGTGCTTTCTTGACTTTTTATTTCTACTTTCAACTTTCCCTACCCTATTGCTAACACCCATAATACCGCACTTGAGTTAATTTCTTCACTTCAAAGAAAATCTCTATTGGCTTCACAAGTCTGAGAACTGCAGGAGTGGACTCTGGAAGGAATTCTGTATCAAATATTTTAGAATTTAGGCAATCTTTTCTGACATTGTCTTATTTTGTTCTGTTAAAATTCATTTAAAAGTTTATTTTGTAGTACACAATTTGTAGAGCTATCAAAATTATTGAAATATCCTTTTTGTAAGGACTGAGGTTGTCAAGGATGTGCTCCACTTGTCCCATGCTATGGAAATTAGTGGGATTTGATTACTCATCACCTTTAGGAACCTCTCTAAATAAATAAATGTAAAAAAGTCAGCTCAAAGTAACAGACTGTTCTGTATCCCAGTGCATTTCTAGAGTTAGTCCATCATCAATATAAAAATGTCTGTACGTGCCAGCACAGATTCCTACAGTTCTTTCTTCCTTATCTTTGTTTTTTCTTGAAATAGAGGCTATTTCATCACAGAACATGTAACAATGGAACTGACTATTATTTACAATAAAACTTACGATTTCATTGTTATAGCTAATATAGCTAATTCCACTGGGCATAAGTATTGAGCTTTCATGCTGGGAAAAGCAGGTCCTGCTCTCCCTGGCCACTCATGCTCATTGAAATCAATGAGATCTGTCTTTCTCTGCTGAGAGAGACAAGCAGGCAGTGCTTAGTGATGTCTTTTAAAAACATGTCACTATAACAGTAGCATTAGTCTTCCTTGATTAATGATTATGGGTAGAACATTTTTCTTTTAGAAGTGATGTCACTGTATATAATTTATTCAGTCTCAGTTTCCCCTTTCCCAGAAAAAGCCAGTGAGAAGAAGATATGAACCCTATGGGATGTACTCCGACGATGACGCTAACAGTGATGCATCAAGCGCTTGCTCAGAGCGCTCCTATGGTTCCAGGAATGGAGGCATTCCTCACTATCTGCGGCAGACAGAAGATGTGGCTGAGGTGCTGAACCACTGTGCCAGCTCCAACTGGTCTGAAAGGAAGGAGGGCCTCATAGGTCTCCAGAACTTACTGAAAAGCCAGCGGACACTGAGGTGACTCTCATAGCTCTGTAGTGTTGGTCGTGCATGGGCGACGGCTCTTGTCAGAAGTCAGTAATATGTACTTCCCTCACGTACACAGATAGTACTTTTCACAGCTGTGGAAGCTTTGTCTCCACAATGTGGGACTTAATTACTTTCAGAAGAGATTCTGCTGTCATCGCTATTGTTTGTGTGAAACTTTTAGTAATAACATAGATAGTACTCAAGCATACCATCTTGTTGCAGCACAGTGAGATTTCCCACAGTGATGGTAATGAAAATGCATTCCATGGGTGGTACCATTTTCACATTAGTCTATTTGAACCTTCAGTACTTTTTTTCTCTGCATCTTAGAAGCAAATACTGACTGCGTTTACTATAAAAACTCAGGGTGTGTGTGTTTCAAAAAGATGAGATCAAATGATGTGCCCTGTGTTGGGTATACTTTGACTCGTAGTGAAGGCTGTGTTAAGCATAATTACTCATGACTCTTTCTAGCACATCAAGTATAATTATTTGTAACTCTTCAAAAATATCAAAAGCCTGAGTGTCCTATAAATGGTGTAATTTGTAGGATAGAGGGAGGTTTAATAAGGCAATGAAGTAGATGTGCCAACTCTGAGATTGTGTGCTAGGAGAGAGATGTTTTCCCTTTGTTGAAAGCCAAATAAACTCTTCCAACACCCTTGACATGTCACACATAAGACCAGATCTTAGAATTACACAACAATCATGGGGAAGCTTCACATGGCCACGTGTGACATTAACTATAGAGTAGATCACATTCACTGACTCCTGTGCCGCAGGCTTTTTGTTATTGTTTTATAGTGATGTATTTGGAAATAAGTTGTTCCTTCTGACTCCTTTGAAAGTAGCATTTACTAATAGCCATGACATTTTTATTTTCATGTTATGAATATTATGAAGTTGAATTATGGCTAGATATATAAGTCAGTTGTTGTATAGGTTTAGTTCCTACCTGCTTGTATTTGTGTAGCTGTTTTGCTTTTAAAAGGTCTTTATACTGACTGAAAGCGTTTGTCAGTCCTCATTAACAGTCTGGATAAATATGTACTGACAGCTAGCCTGCGAAGGTCATCCTCTTGCCATCATAAAAATACTCAGCATTTCACATGGTATGTTGCAATCCTGAGGTGGGAAGTGCTACAGGTTTTTAATATGGTGGAGTCCCTAGGTCAGCAGTGGCTTTTTATGTAGTCCATTTACAAGTATTTTAAAAGATTCTTCCCATGTGAATGATGTCATTTTTTCTTTATTTTAGCAAATTTTCTGAGAAAACTCTGACACCTATCATACTTGTATGAAAAGTTGGGGTGAGATTTTGATTTTCCCACAGGTGTGCAAGGATTATCATCATAGCTTGGAATGCTGTGGGCGAATGTTTCAAGTCGGGAAGTGCTGAGAAGATTGGGGTGACAGACTATTTGCCCCCATAGTAACTTTTAGTAGAGGTGCTGCTGTTTTCATTCCTTCTGGTTGCAGTATATGAACATTACTGATGTCAGTAGTCTCTTGAGCTAGCAAGTTTCCTTGGCTCTGGTTCTGAATAGTTTATAAACCTTACCCAGAAAGTACACCCTTGCAGAGGTTGTTTTTTTGTTTTTTGTTTTTTTTTAATTGGCACTGGTTTTAGTTCTTCAGATTATATTTCTTTTCAGCTTGCTTTTGGTCTGCTCACACCTTAGTTCAGGGATGTTCTGGTGCCAGTACTAGTGATCAGATTTCTTCATCCTGCTCGTACAGTATCATGAAAAACATAAAGCCATTAGTATAAGAGGAAAGCCTGTCTTCTAGTGAAATCTGGTATCTTCTGTTCAGGCATAACAAGTTTAATATAAAGCAGTAATGTTAATATGTTTTCTTTAGTGTTCTGAATGGAAAGACGTCTAATCTTACAGCAGTGGTGAATTACATGTCCAGAAAGATGTGCATGCAAAGTCATACAGAACTTAATATTCCTCATTGTTTCCTACAACTTCATGTGGCTGGGCTCCCCAGTAAGGTTGTCTGAATGACACGGGACCAACAAATCTGATAAGGAAATGGCCTTCCACTGCTTGTCAGTTTGTTTCTTGCACTGTCACCTTGGCACAGCAAGGTTCTGGAAAAACAGATTGGCTACTGTGCGGTTTCCACATAACCCTTGCACACAAATAAATTTAATTAGAGTAACAAATGGAGCATTATTCAGAAAACAGCAATCTGCATTAAGTCAAGACAGTGTTTTGAGACATTGCATTCTCACCCTGAATGAAGCTGCCAGCTTTCTTTGGCATCGTTACAAGTACTTTTTTCTCTATATCCAACTCATAGGCAGACTGTTGTCTTTGTGCTGTTTTAAACAGATCTATTGAAAAAAATCTCACATATCTTTGCAAGCTAACATAAAGCAGTTATAGACTACTGGCAAATTCTGGCTGTATATATGACTGCAATGTAGAATTTACATCTTTATGGAAAAGGGGGGTACCTGTAATCGTGATCTAAATGGCTGTTGCCCTAGCAATTGATGTGCATTTTAGTAGTTGCTCTGGCTTCATAGTAATTGTGGAAAAATATCTAATTGCATCCATAGTATGCAGGAAGTGTTAATCACTCTGTTTGCATTAGCATGATAAACAAACAAAACTTTTACACTCTTTGACACTTTAAAGCAAAGCTAGAACTTGTGTTTTTCAATATACTGGAAATTAAGAGCTTTGGCACCATGAACTGGAATGCCAGTCAAGGCTTTGCCTAGAGATATGTAGGAGTTTTCAGAAGTGTGACTTAAGAATGTTTAAAAGAAAGCTGATCTCTTTCAGGTGGCACTGTTTTAGTTTTGTTTTTTTTTTTTGTCAACAGGAGATGTAGCATTAATATTGTTTTTTATTGTGCATTCTAGCCGAGTGGAATTAAAAAGGCTGTGTGAAATATTTACTCGCATGTTTGCTGACCCTCACAGCAAGGTAAGATCACAAAGACTGTGTCATTCTCTTGAATTACCATGTATCTACATTTGTGTATTTTTCAGAGGAGAATGTTTTGTATTTCTACCCCTGCCATCTGCTGGGGAAAGCTGGCATTTATAAACCTCAAATCTGTTTTACTGTGAAAGTATGGATGCCAGCCTGTCTGCTGATGCTAGGAGCTGGTTACCTTGTGCTTCCCAAGCAACTGAATGCCTTCTGGCTGTCAACTCCTCAAGTAATTGTAGTCTGGACCAGCTGGCCAACAGGTCACATATAGTGTGACAGTTCCTACCCGTAAGGTGTTAACCTTTTGACTCTCAAAAATTCAGTCCCTTGTAGGAAAGGCATAGATACAGTTATCTGCTTGCAAATATTTCCAGTGTATAAATAAGGCGATGGCTTATTACGTGCTTAACCAAAGTATGTTCTCCATGACAGTGATTCTCTCTTTTTCACTGCTTCTATAGAATTATTGCCAAAAACTGATCATTTTGAAATGCAAATTACAATCACAAAATTGCTACAGTATAACTGAAGTCAGACATTAGTCCTTTATTGCAAAATCAGGGATTTTTCTACCCACCACCCCTGCTGTTACTAAACACTGCTTGGGCTAGCAGATAGGACCAGAGTCTCAGAGATTAGAATAAGCTGGGGGAAGCGAGGAAAAAACTTGTCATGAGCTGAATCTGATGCAAGGTATAATGTTTTAAATAACTCTAGTGAGAAGGTATTTTGTATTGAGAAAATGTAAACTTGGAATGAATGTATCTTTAATGTTGACAAACTGCATTTGAACAATCATGTTTGATCACTGTGTGCTAACAAGTTGTTTGTTTTGTTGCATGGCCTGCTTTGCTGTGGAATTCACAACAGAGAGTAAGTGTATTCTGTTCCTCTTCCTTCATTTGTTTCATGTGGTATTTTAATACTGCACATTATATATGTCTGTCTGATTTTTATTTTCAAAGCAGTGAGGTCACTAAAATCATCCATTCATGAAACTGTCTGTAACAATAATTATGAAACCCAGGTTTTTAAAACTTTCCACTTTGATTAGTTTTTATTTGAAGCACAGCCTTCCTCCTTGTGATGCTTGTTTTGCTTATAGGTCTTCAGCATGTTTCTGGAAACCCTGGTTGATTTCATCATCATTCACAAAGATGACTTGCAGGATTGGCTTTTTGTTCTCCTGACACAGTTGCTGAAGAAAATGGGAGCAGATTTGCTGGGGTCTGTGCAGGCAAAAGTTCAGAAAGCTCTGGATGTCACCAGGTAAAGTACTTAAATGGCAACACTGTGCAGGTTTTTACAGGATGACGGGAAGGCACATGGTGGATGTTTTAGAAACCCAGTGGCACCATGTATTTTTAAGGCCTCAATCCTGAGGAACACCAGCATAAATGAGAACAAAACTATGTCACAGTACCTAAAGCATAATGTTTCAAGTGTATAACTGATCAGTTATGCTATTTTGCATGTGTTTGGACGTCAGTTTTCATTTTTATTGAAAACAATTACTTTACGTGTTCATTAAACAAATGATACTTTAACACAAAATTCATAACATCTTAAATGTGTTTGACAGATAATGTCAGAGATAACACCTTGAATGCAACTGCTCTTTGCACACCAATTCTGTACTCCCTGTCCTCATCTAAGGACCTTCAACACTGGACATAGTTACAATGAAGTTCAGCTTGCCATGGAAAAGAGTAACTTAAAAGCAAACAAACGTAGTAGTAGTAGTTATCCAGGAGAAAATAGGATAGAGAAGAGAAATGAAAGCCAGATATGGACTCTGTGGGAAAGAGAAACCAGTTTCCTATTAGAGATGAGGCAAAAAGAAAAAAAAACACAGCCTGAAATGAAGATGGCCAGGTATGCCAAAAACTGGTGAAGTGTACAGAAGGCAGAGTAACAGTGTACAGTGGATATTGACTTAGCAGTGTTTAGCCTGTAGTGAAACAATACTCAACTGATTCTTAAACTTGGAATTTTCTGAATGGTTGATGATAAACTTTAGAACAAAAGTGTGGTAGATGCTGAACTTGGCTATGTACCTTCTTATGTATATAGTTAATTCAGTCTTGGGAATGTGTGTTGCATCACATTTTTGGCTTGGTTTTCTTTGGACAGGGATTCTTTTCCATTTGATCAACAATTTAACATTTTGATGAGGTTTATTGTGGATCAGACGCAAACACCAAACCTCAAGGTCAGTATCAAACCTTTTCAATGAGGCGTAAGCATGGTCATCTTAGTTTACCTTCTGAGGTATAATGAAAACACAATTTGTGACAAGATGACTAATTGCCAGCACCTGATGCTATTAAGAATGATATCAGCAGCTTTGATTAAATTTTTGCAATAATTTGCATATCTTGTTAAAGAAGAAAAATAGTTTCCAGAAGCCTGACTCCTATTTCCTCAGATGACTTTTGTTGATACTGAGGTTGTCTGTATTTTTTTTTTAAATATCCAAAGCTATAGAGACAGCCATGGTGAGGTTTAGAAGAGTTGTTTTGTGTTTTTTTTGTGTGGGTTTTTTTTTTTTTTTTTTTTTACCTCAGCAGAGGTTGGCTATCAGTACACTACTGAAAAACCCACTCTCTAGTTCTCTATATTAATAAATCTAAATTTAAAAAAATAAGGCTTTCTGACTTGTCACAAATCAGTGTTGGGCTTTAGGCACACTAAAAAGTATTAAAGTTTAAACATTGAAAATTCTTCCTCATCCTGATCTTGATGGGAAGAAACCTGCCTGTGCAGGACAGCAGGGACCAGGGTCCCTCTGTACAGTGACAGGGGTGAAAATGCTTGTTGCACAGAACCCATAGAGTCCATGTAGAATTTGGAGAAGATGCAGAGCTTTCTGTTAATAAATCCTTTTAAGAGGGTACTGCTGTGCAGATTGTTTTTCAGGAGGCTGCTGTTTCAAGCCTATGGGAACACCATGAACTCTGGAAATCAGATGAAACTGCAGCACTTTAAAATGTTCCATACTGTTGGAAACAGTGTGGTGGAGTCCTCATGTGCTCACACTAATGCACAAGCAGGCATGTGCATATTTTGAGCCTATTCTGATGGACCATTCCAGACCAAATTTTTCTTGTGTAGGAAGTTGTTTGGTTTTGATAACTGACATAGAGATGCAGCAGGGAAGTGGTTTTTTTTCCCAGTGTGACACAAGTCTTGTCAATCTGTAGCAATATCTGTTTATGATAGGATAATTCTATTTTTGCTAGCTTGTGGGATTTTAACTGATGCCCTTTCACTTCTCAGGTGAAGGTAGCTATCCTGAAATATATTGAGTCCTTGGCAAGACAGATGGATCCGACGGACTTTGTGAACTCTAGTGAGACGAGACTTGCTGTGTCTAGAATTATAACTTGGACAACAGAACCAAAGAGCTCAGATGTGAGAAAGGTAATCCAAATAATGAAGTATTTGCAGTCCTTATTCTTCCAAAAAAGGAAAAGCAAATAAAAACAACAACAAAGAACCCCCCACAAGTTAACTGATCCCAGAGGTAATTAAAAATTCATCAGTTAGATTTTTACGTACCTTAACTTCCAAACTGAACTGCCTATTCAGGAGACTTAGCCATGTAACTTTAGCTGCTATTACTGTGCAGAAAGGGAAGAGAGTTTGAAAATAGGCATTTTATTGAGCAGTCTGAAAATATCTGTAGGTTCTTGTTTATTTTCTTGCTTTGCAGACTCAAATGAAATCTGCACAATTTTTGTCTTGCAATATTGTTAAAGAAAGTAAACAAATCAGTAAGCTGCCAAGGGCTCTTGGCTTTTTTCTTTTAAAAAATGCATGTTTTTCTCAACCTGGAAAAATAATGGCACATTTAGGTCAGACCCAGATAATGCAGTTAACTTCTTCCTTTTCTTGCTATGGATGCAAATGCCAAGTAAGCTAAAATGGAGCAGATAGTGATACTCATCTCTCCCAAGAGAAAAGTGAAACTTTGTTTTGTGCACCTGGTGTCTGTAACACAGTTAAAAATTACCTCCAATTCCCAGCCCAGATGTAGGAATAGAATTATAGAATCACCAATATTGGAAAAGACCTACAAGATCATCTAGTCCAACCATCCACCTATCACCAATAGTTCTCACTAAACCATGTCCCTCAACACGAAATCCAAACATTCCTTGAACACCTCCAGGGTTGGTGAGTCCACCACCTCCCTGGGCAGCCCATTCCAGTGCCTGACCACTCTTTCAGAAAAGTAGTATTTCTTAACGTCCAGCAGAAATCTCCCCTGGCAATTCCAGTAAGAGTTGTAGGCTTTGAAATGTTTTTGAGTGTAATTTAAAAAAAATCCCAAACAACTTTAATGGTATCAGAATATAAAAACTGTATGAAGTTTTTTTGCTCTACGTGCACTTAGTACTGATTTAATGCTAGAATAGTACTATTTTATATCTTTGGAAATAAAATTATTTTTGTTGATTATTCAATTCTAATGAAATGATGACTGAGTATCAAAGATGCTGAAGCTGCAATATTATCTCATAGCTCACCCAAGAATTCAGAAAAGGTTTTTGAGTGCAAGCTGTTTGCTTTCTGGTACACTTGACTGTATGTCTCATCTGCTTTTAGAAGACTTTTTGCAGGGTTTACTTGCACTAGCATGACTGAAATTTGTTTCAAGATAGTCCAGTTCAGAAAATAAAGTGGCATTAAGTCCTAGAATTAAATCTGGAATGTGTATTTCTATTATGATACTTTTGCATATGAAGTCAGGATTAAAAGGGAAAAGACTGCTTTTGTTACAGTTCAAGTAAGACCCAAGCAGCTTACTGTGGTAGTTGCAGGCAAGAGGGAGCTGTAAACTAACTAGAGTGATACTTTGGAAAGTAAACTTCTGCATATTGCTCAGTGGAAGAAATATTCCACCATTAGGGGTCATCAGTGCTACATGAAAAATTGAGTGAAGAGCGTCTCTGTAGCAGCTGAAATTTTGGATGTCAGCTGGGAATCTGTGGGATGTGTGGCATGTGTATTCACAGTGCAGTGACTGTCCTTCTGTCTGCCTCAAAGACCTGCAGCAAGCTCCACCTGAGTGGGACCTGGGCAAGTGCCTTGGAAGTGATAAGAGGCGACCAAATCTAAATTCTCTTTATTAAATCTGCGTGTGACTTAGATTTGTCTTTGCCTCTAGCTTTTTAATTATAGTGCAGTTAAGCTAACTTAGGGTACTAGAAAGGAATGCACAGGTGAGCTTTATTACATCATACAGTTGCTGTACTATGATTTTATTAAGAGCATAGTGCAAACTACAGGCTTTAGAAGAAACAATGCGGCAAAGGATTTATAAGCGATCATTGGCCATAATCTCTGTCATGACTATAGTTAACACACTAATAAATTCATTATGCAGAAACGATCTGGATTATCAAGGACCAGCCTAGACAGGTGAAACGTTCTGAAGAACATTAAAAAAAAAAAGTCCTCCACTTTTGAAGACTATACCTGGAGCAAGAAGTACCACTTTTTATAACAAGAAGATTCATTTAGGAATGGATCATAACATTTTTTTCCTTGTGGAAGGTATCGCTACAGAAAACTTTAAAGGTTTGAAGTTCTCAAAATGCAGAGCAGGCTGTGCAATTGAAACTCTTGTCGAAATATAACCTTGGAGGGAGCAGTTGAGTTTATGGAGTAGGAGGGACAATTCAGACTCCAAATGATTAGGTGCTGCAAGGGGTGTGTAACAAATGTAAAAGAAGGCACTTTTTCAGTCAAATCTAGCTTTGAGATAATCCTTGAACTTGACTCAACTCTTCCAAGTGCTCAGGAGCAGTTGTGTGTGTGTGATGATCATGGAGGTCCCAACCCCATAGTGTTAAGGCACTGGAGAAAATTAGAGCAAAAAGTGGCATCTGGTCCGAAGACCTTTTTTAACTGAACAGTACATATTCTATTAATAAAACCTTGCATATTCTTATGATGACTACTTAAGCACACTTGATGAGCCAACTTAACCTGTCTGACTTGAACTCCAGGTCATGTTTTATAGCAAGTGAAATTGTAAAGAAACAAAGTTAGAGGAAATGCTGTTGTGCAGAAGTCAGCTTGTTTATGGAACAATAACCTCTGTTATCACACAAAAAAACTATGATGTACTTTGTGGAAAGCAGCGTTAATATTGACCAAAAGTCACTATCCACTCTCAGGGTAGAAAGCATTTAAGCTGTTGACAGTAGCAATGAATATATGGTCAAAATTACTGTCAGGCATTATGTTTAAAATGAGGTGATCTGCAATGTGCTACGGGTAAGTATTTGTTTTGTTTTAAAGATTGTTAATACTTCTGGATGTTTACCTTGCATTAAAGTTAAGATTTACTTCCTGCAAACAGTAGTAGAAGAAAGGTGAAATATGTTTGTCCTTTGTGCTGAACAAAAAGTAGAAGCAGCTCATGCTGCATTGCATGGGAAACTGAGTTGCAGGTCAACTGTTGCTCTTCTCTGCATATTCAGCTGAATCCTGCTTTTTCCCCAAGCAAGGATACACCACTGGGTATGACATAGAGAAAAACAACTCAAAATGGTGATGTTGATAGTGATGGATGGTCTGAGGACATTGTCAGGAGCCACCACTCATGTTGCTGGTAAAGTTATTGTACATTCTTTACGTAGGTGAAATTCTGAGTTGGAGTAACGTTACTGGACTTTGTGTGGGAAAATACTTTGTTCTTGGAGAAGAGCCCATCAGTTTAAGAATGGAAATTAGATTGAGGCCTCTAATTGGACTCTAGCTGAGTAATTGAGGGATTGTTTCTGAGTTATACCAGAGGATGCAGAAGACTTTAGAGAAGAAGCTGCAGGTCAACAAATTATTCATATGCTCAAACAGCCAATGAAGATAAAATTTATTTCTTTAACTAGTAGTCCTCAATATCATTTCTCAAGAAATATTGGTATTATCGCTTTAAAAAGGAAATGATGTCTAAAACATGAAGAAAGTTTTAGATAGCATAGATAATTTAGATGCTGCTGTGGTGTCTGTACCAGGACCAGCAATAGATTGGCAAACACTGCTAAGGGAGTGAAATTGGACTCCTTTGCAGCTTGATGTCATGAAGCTTCTAAAACCTCTGCTGGAGCTGTAATCTTTTAGTGGTGTCAAGCAGTTCTGAGACAGAAGTTTGTGTGAAAGCATGCCCAGAGCCTCCCATTGAGCTCAAATGGCATCATTTGCCCTTAATGTTGGGCAGCAAATACAGCTGGCTGTGGCCTCTTACAGTAATAGTGACACAAAGGGCATTTGCAGGAACGCTTTTGAATGGCAAATCATTTCAGTATTCCCCAGTGGGCTGGGCCTTGCCTTTCTTGTTTGGAGAGCTCTCCAAAATTCTTGCAATATTCTTACAGCGTGTAATGTTTCACTGACCCCCACGAGTAGCTGATTTACCAGAGAGAATGAGACCTTAAGCTTATGGAGGGTCTGTGCCCATATGCAGAGTTCAGCCTTTTTGCCAAAGGATGGTCCTAAAGAAGTCAAATTAGATCTCAGTGCAAAAAGGAGCTTTGTTCAGGCATTTTAATAGTTGGTGTTAGGAAAAATAGAGTCATGCATTGTAAGTGCCACTTGGTGGACTTCAGTGTTTACTTGACTTAATGCTGTTAGAACAGAAAGATCTTGGTGTCCTAACTGTGTTTCCAAAACAGTAGCCCTCATTTCGTTTGTTTTGAATTTGATGCTACAAAGCTATGAGAACCCAAATATTTTTAGTGTACTTAGTGTAAGGCAAATTGTTTTTCCAAGCATCAGTTGCCAGAAGATCATCACGTGCTTTGTTGGAAACATGGTATCAGAGGTAGGTTTCCTTAAAGTGAATCTCTTGGATTTTTACAGCTTCTTTAGCATCCTTTGAGCTGGAAGCAGTTTTAGTATGAGTAGTTATCTTTTCTCAGTTTGCTTCAAACAATAAGAACTTACTGTCTGATAATAGGAGATAAGAAATTGCTTCATAGGATGTGTATACTCATGCTTATATTATGTGTTTGGGCATAACATGTTTGTGTAGATGCCACGTATATAGAAATATATGCACACCTGCGTGGTTATAAGCGACAGGCCTGTTTGGAAAACCAGGATTTGAAACTTCTTGCAGCTTAAAGGGCGGGTTTTTGTTGCAAACAGAACTTCAGAAACTTTTCTTCCTCCTTTACTTGTATCTGGGAATTTCCCCCTCAGAGTTCAGCTTTGCATCATGCTAGATTTACTTTAACAGTTTCTCTCGCCTGTTTCTGCTGTAAATGCCGCATTGTATGGAGCAGAGATAATCAGGGTAGCCTTCAAAAGCCTGACTTCTGGGATAGCACCTGGGTTTGCAGAAGTAATGAATAGTCTTTGCTATGACCAGGTGACAATAGAGAATATAAGAAATCTTTATCTATTATAGA